TGCAGCAGCCGACTGAAACACAGACATTGTCATCTCGACACATCGAGCGCGACTGAAAAAGGCCCAGAGAGACTTAAACTGCTCTAATCGCCGACCAAACACCTCCACATGCCGTCTGTCAACATCCTTCAAAACTGTTGTTGTTCATCTCTATTCCCAGACTCTGCGGTTGCCATGGCACCTCTTCCAAAATAATGATCTCACGGGGCGACCGGGAATACGCGCACGAGTGCATTACGCAAGACTTAAGGTATCAGTGCTTCTGAATTATTCAGCAGATGTTGGCGTCGACGGCCTCGTATGTGTTCGCCTGCGACGTTCTGCCACAAATCAGGCCTGTGATGGAAGAATGTGAAAGCTGCGTCTCTCTAAGCTTTACACAAAAGAGTGAAGTCGACTTGGGGTTGAGATGAACACACCCTGTGAGCCTTCGCGCCTGTACGGGCATGAGCCGAGGCGTTACGTATGGGCTTGCAAACAGTCAAAAGCATTCTCTCTTCCTGATGCAACAACGCCTGCAGCCAAGTCGCCGATTTCACATGTTGTTGGTGAGATTTAACAGTAACTAAGGAAACAGATACTCCTGTTCTGTATCCCTGGGTGAGTCAGTCGGACTCACCTCAACGCCCTCCCCACATGGCAGGACACCTCATGCTCACTCCAGACACTCCGGTTATTCCACATCAAGTGTGTGTGTGTTATCAAGAAATGCAAATGTCCAATGGAGGGGGGTAACGAGGGAGGTGCAACTTTGCTCCCATCATCACTTCCAGGTGTACGAGCCCCACCTTTACCGTCAGGGAGGGACGACGGCGAGAGGCAGACAGGAGGGCAAAGAATGAAAGGAAAGAATGAGTAGGTCTCTGCTAACCTGCTGATAAAACGCTGAAAACAATCGTCTCCGCCGCTGACTCCTGACCTCCGTATCTGGTGATCTTCCAGTTAACTCGAGTTGGCAGAGAAATGGGCACATCGTCAGGATAAGGGAGTGATAGAGTTTACTGCAGCTGAACTTCAAGAGTGTAATTTAGACCCCCATCCCAAAGGATTAAAGGTAAGTCCGTTCTCTTTTTTTAAATTAAAGTTTGACTTTCTTCTTATCTCTAATAGTTTGAGACAGAGTCAAACATGCTCTTGTCTTTACAGGCATTTATGTTTTTAAGTTTAAATCAAAGTCGGCTTCATATTCAAATCCAATCCACCAACTTCACACATATTTAGGTCAGTGTCGGGGCAAACTTGAAGGCCCGGTGTTAAAACCACCCAAAGGTCATCTGTGAATCTCTCAAACAAAGACTGGCCTGTGAGCTGGAGGAAGTTATCAGCTATCAGGAGCGACTATCTCCAATCTGAACGTCGCACACAACTCGCTCCCCAAACGCTCGGCCGCTCTGCCTTTCTTGTTGTTCTTTCTTTTCTGTCCCAGCCTCACCTCACCTCCACGCTGCCGTTGGTTTCTCCTCCAGCCTTGTTCTGGCATGTTTATACACTCCCTCCTCCTGCTCGCTTCACTCTGGCTGTCAAACCTCTTTCCCCTTCGTCTTTCTCCCGTCGCGGCCTCTCTTATATCATCCTCCACTTCATCCCGCTTGCTTTTTCCGCTGTCAGACTTTTAAAGAAAACTTCTGACTGACGTTGCTGCAGTCGAACACGAGCAGCGAATACTTTGCCCTCACATGTGCTTCTTCTTTTTTTTTTCTGTTTTGGTTTCAGGAATAAAGAGCTGCCATATCAAAGGATAGTTGAAAAGAAGGACTGAATCGTCATGAGGATTACTACAATGAATATGGCCTTTTTATCCAGCAAATCCCTTTTCTCTTTGCTCCTCTTCTTCTACGTCCCTCTCACCTGTCTGTGCCAGTCGAGCAACAGCAGCTCAGCCAACACCCCGACGACTTCCTCCAACGGTACAAGCCTGAGGGGCGTCAGAGGCTGCGGCCGCGACCTGAACCCCATATACAGATACCTGTGTGACCGCCGGGCGGTGTGGGGCATCGTCCTGGAGACCCTGGCCGCCTCAGGCTTTCTGTTCAGCATCGCCCTCCTCATAGGAATGCTGATCTGGTCCATGTGGATCTGCTGCTCGAAGCGGCACCACCGCAGCAGCATCGGCAGCATCGTGGCCTCGATGTCCCTGTTCCTGCTGGCCACGGCCGGGATCTTCGCCATCACCTTCGCCTTCATCATCCGCCTCACCCCGCAGACCTGCCCCACCAGGATCTTCCTCTTCGGCGTGCTCTTCTCGCTGGCCTTCTCCTGCCTGCTGGCTCGCTGCCTCGCTCTGCTGGGCTTCGCGGCGGCTCGGGGCTGGGGGGAGCCCGCCCTGGCTCTGGGGCTCTTCACCGTGCAGGTCATCATCAACACCGAGTGGCTGATCGTGGTGCTGGTCCGGGACAACAAACCCTGCGAGTACAGCCAGGAGGAGTTCGCCATGCTGCAGATCTACGTGCTGTGCCTCCTGGCCGTGGCCCTGATCCTGTCCCTGCACCTCATGTGCCGAACCTGCTGCACGTACAGCTACAGCTACACGGGGCCCACCAACCAGCAGCGCCGGGCCCAGGCCACGCTGCTCTTCTTCACCCTGCTGCTCTCCGCCTGCATCTGGGTGGTGTGGATCACCATGCTAACCAGGGGGAACCCCGAGCTGGGCCGCCGGACGAGCTGGGACGACCCAGTGCTCGGCATCGCCCTGGTGGCCAACGGCTGGGTGCTGCTGCTGGGGTACGGGTTGTCCCAGGTCGCCTTCTTCTGCAGGGGCGAGGCCACATCAAAGGATCTCCCGCTGAGCTTTGCGGGTTGGACCAGCCCCAGCGCGGATATCCCCGGACTGAACAGCCCCAAGGAAGGGAAAGAAAACGGAAGCTTTGAGAACGACACGGATAACAGGAGAGGTGAGACGCCGTCATCGTAACCAATCATCAGAATTGTGCTTAAATAATGAGTTTCATCTAAAAATCCTATAAATCATTTTAACAATTTAAAAAAGACGGCAGTTCGAGGAGATGTTCTCACTTTGTATGTTTGGTCTTGCAAAGGATATTTAATTTACTATCACACAGCAAGATGTGAAACTTTTGGAAAAGCTCGTTCAGCTCTTATGCACAAATATGCATAAAATAGACGTGAAGAATCCCTTTGTCGCGGTGAAGCAGTTGATTCATTTTGCTGTCAATCGAGCAATTGATTGATCAGCTGTTTTTGCTCCTCTTGACGTTTCGTATAAGTTGGAAGACGGCTCATGAGCAAAATAAATTCACCTTGAACCTGTGGTTTTCTGATAACAGCCTCAAAAACACAGATTCAGGCTTCTGGGGTTTCCAACCTAAAGAACCAGTCTGATGAAGGGCAGCGTCTTCTGCATCACGGTTCGGGTTCTATTTCCAACATGAATTACAACTTGCCGTTGCGTAGCGTGGCGTAGCTTTACAGAGCAGGTGAGCTGGTGTGCTCGAGCTGCAGCGAGCGAGGAGGGATGAGTTAGGAGGGAAGCTGGGATCTCAAAGATCTGCACGTTGTCGAGGAAGCAGGAGTGTAGAGGTACATCTGAGCCGTCTGAAGGCAGGACGGGATCATTTTGATGAACAGGGTTTAGTTTTTAGGGGTTTAATCCGACCAGAGAGGGACTTTAAAGACAGATGATGTCACTAAAGCACAACTGATTATTGTGGAATAATGATAAACATGTAGTAGAAACAGATGCATCAATTAGCATACGTACCACAGTGATATCAGCCAACTGTTCATGCAGCTGTAGCTCCGACACTTCCAAACATCAAACAGAGCAACAAACTTTTTCCTTCTTGTGAGGACAGAATGTGTTATTCCTTCTTCTACGTGGTCTCATTTCAACATCCTCTAATCTAGAAATCCTATTCTGCAACAGAAACGAGCGACGGCGGCAATTTCAGACCCACTGAAAGACGTCCTTTATGCTGAAATATAACTGGGAGCCAAAATGAACTCCAATCCCTTGTCCGACATTACAAATTGAATTCTGCTATCAGCCGCCTCGGCTCTCACTGCGGGCCTTCATGATGAACGGCGTGTAATGACCTGATAATTAGCCGACTGTATCGTATGTCTCCCTTCAGGCAGGAGGACCGAGCAATCGCTGCGATCGCCCTACGAGTCCGGCTTCTCCATGACAGTGAGTATTAAACCATAAAACATCACGCCGCACAATTAAACGGCGGGACCTCTTAGCACGGCGGCGCAGTCTCGCTGTAAGGTTAATGAAAACGCCGTCTATCGCGGGTATTAATTGCAGCGACTCGATGAATTGTGTGTTCCAGGACATCGACCCCGACAGAGATTACAGCATTCCTCGCCCCAAAGCCACCAACTACAGCGAACCCTACGACGACTACTACGGACAGGATTAAAACCGCACGAACTGGCACCAGAAACCAAACGAACTTGTGCACCAATCAGAAGTGCAAATGTACATATAGATTTTTTGTTAATGTTTTCAGCAGAAAAAAGCAGCAGAAAGAAAAAAAAAAAAACCAGGATCAGCAGCATGACTCATCTTCTGGAGCTTCATCGAGGCTGGATGGGTTCAGAGAGTCCAGCTTTCTTCTGGCGGGAAATCCACATGATAAATGCTTTAGTGGACGTGAGTTTCTGTCATGACGTGTGTGTGTGTGTGTGTTGTATACACATTGTGTGCTACTCGGAGATGGTATATAATAGCCCCGAGGTGACAGAGGAGGCGTGAAACCGTCACTCCGAAGGTGCCAAACTGCCGGGCCGAGCATCTGTGAACGGCGGCGAGGAGGAGGAGGAAGAAGAGGTGAGAGGAAAGGAAGGATTAGATGAGATGAGACAGGACAGGAGGAGGGTAGGACAGGGCACCCGTCGGTGCTGTGGGAGGCCGGGTGCCATCACTGATTAACATCTTCATATTCAGAGGGTTCTGCTGCTGCTGCTGCGCCAAACACAGCGACGTGTTCTGAGGGACGCCTCGCTCCAGCAGCACATAGTTTATTGTTTGTTTTTTGCACATGCTTGTAGAGTCAATAAAAAGTTATTCTGGTAAATTAATCGTAGCTCCTTGAAGACCTCTCATCCAAGAGGCTTCATCGGGTCTGACCGACTAGTCGGGAGCTCCAGATATCCTTAAGGAGACATTAACACCTGAGTTTCAATGGGGGGTTTGTTGCTCCTCCCGTTCGTGAGGGTCTTCTGTGGCTAGGTGTGGACGTGGTTTCCTCTTCCTGGGGTGAGATCTTCGGACTGAGCTGTAAACAGGTGATGCCTCAGACCTCCACCTCTGTTGGATGATGGTCTTTCCAGTTCTTCCACTCCTCTCTCAAACCATCTGTTGTCTTCGAATGAGTGTCCAATAAAAAGTTCTTCCATGAAAGTTATCTCTGGTTTCTTGACAGGGCGCGCATACGGGGCACTAATTAATCTCTCAAGTAGAATCAGTGTCATGAATCCGGGCGCCTGCTGCAGAGGGCGGCGGTTCACGCTTCGACCACCAGGGGGCAACATGTGGACGTGTGGAGGTGCTCCGGGTGGATGAGAGGAAGTCAGACAAGATGACTGAGCTTTTCAAGAAATGTGCAGCTCAGCCGCTGCATCACTAACAGTCTACATACAGTATTAAAGATGATTCAGTGGCTTCTGGTTGTGAACTTGTTTATACCCCCACCCTCCTCCTATCATGGCCCCGCGGTGATCCGCCATCCACAAAGGTCAATTCCTCACTTCAATAGATGCCATCTCTCACACATCCCCTCCTTTTTTTTTTATCAGACGGCCTTCAATCTATTCTTCCAATTAGCCCGACTTCAATTACTCAGAGAGAGAGCGCGCCATCAAATTGGCAATTGGCCTCTTGTGCATTAGAGCAATTAGCGAGGATATGAGGTTTCCTGCCACATCCAACCCATTTACGGCCATTAACTCCAGATGCAATTAAAGATTGTTCCAGATTGTTTCCCCCCCTTGGCGGCGATGAGAAAGTTTGGAGGTGGCGGAGGAGCTTATCGCGTGGGGTAGATTTCGGACCAAGTCAAGAGTTAACGCCGACGTCGCCTCCCGTCAATCAGCCGACCCGCTGAGAAGTTTGCGGACTTGTTATCGGGAGGTTGCGACATTCCTTTAACGCTTAATCAAATATGTTATCTCTATTTGGTACAAGAAGACGGGGGGGAGGGTTGGTTGTACTATTTAAAGCAGCCTCTCTCCTGATTGGATATCTTCACTCCAGTCTGGAAGGAAAGAAAGAAAGAAAGGAAACAGCAAATCTGTGAACGTGCTCTATCGCCTCCTGATAAGCGGCTCACAGGAACACCTGAGGAAAGGTAATAAGCATCCGAATACGGGTATAAAAACCAAACAGTTTATTTATTATATACATTCAATAATAATGAAGAGAATAAACAGAAGGCAGACACGAGGATGGCGAAATAAAACATGGTGAGATAATACATGTCACTTTTTTTTTTTTTTTCTTTCTTTCTCTTTTTAAAAATCACTTGGATAAATGAGCTTTTTGGAGCGCATGTGACCGAAACAAACAAAAAAAACAAAAAAACCTTCACATGCAATTCAAACCCATTTATTAAACCGCTGTACAAAAACTCCCACTGGGTCGACGTGAGCGGTGCCGGGAGTCGGGTAAGCCCGTCCAGCACACCTCTGTGGTTGTTCCCCAAGCCTTCCCATAAGGAGTTGACGCTCCGGAAACTTTATTCCAAAGAGCAGCTAGCACGGGGCGGGTGGGCCGGTGCTGTCATCCCGTCATTTATGAGTTTTATGTTCATTATAAAAGCAAACCACAGGGGTCCAGACACACCAAATTAAACTTTACACATCTGATATGACTGGTGATTACCACGACGACCACAGAGGCGCAGAGCAGCGATAACCCAGATTATTGAAGAGGACCGAACCAGCTAGCGGGGGGCCCTCCTCGCTTCGCAACCGGACCTCTTCCTGCTATGTAAACACCCTCCTCCTCCTCCTCCTCTTCCTCCTCCAGCACTAGGATTTGAATTCATGCAACAAAAATTAAAAAAAAAAACAAAAGCCTGACACACACACACACTCCTCTTTTCCTCTCTGGCGAAAGCATGCATAGCAACACTTGTGGTAATACTCGTAAAGGAATAATAAGACTGAAATACTCGTCGGACCTGCTGCACACAAACAATATCGCCCCCCTCGCTCCTCCTCTCCTACTGTAACCCCCTGGAAATAAAAAAAAAAAAGAGACGACACCAGCGGGGGGCGTTGTTATTCTGTCAGCTCATGATTAATGGCTCTCACCTTCACCGTGTCCCTCCACTAGCCACCCACGCTTTGTCTCATTGTTCAGGAAGGTGGCCACTGCTGGGCCCTTCTGACATTGTGTGGAGCTCCCCCTACCTCCTCCTCCACCTCCCCTACTCCCTCCACCTCCTCCATCCATCCAATTTGGCCCTGCTGCTGGGAAATAATGCAAATACCCTCCACGCATCCCCCATAACTCCCTCGTCTGCAGCATCTTGTTTGTGTGTTAGGCCTCAAAAAAAAAAAGATAAAAATAAATTAGTGTGTTTGCAGGTCAGAGTGACTCCCGCTGCTTCGGAAAATAGAGCAAACAAGGCTAAAAGGGCGGGAAAAAAACAAAAAACAACAACAATCACGAAATAAGAAATACCAAAAAAAATGTGCTTTTTTTTTTTTTCTTTCTATCAGAAAATCTTTGGAACCAAAACAAAAAAAAAGGCAAATAATAGATATAAGATAGTGAGTATATGGATACATACAGGACAGAGGAGCTGTTGTTTGTCATGCCTTCAGATGCACCGGTGAGGAAAACAAACAAGTAAACAATCCCAGAGAGCATGACGAGGAAACCACACGATGAAGCTACGTGAAAACACTGATCATAAATAGAAAACGGATGTTAAAATCTCACTCTTGTGTTTTTTTTTTTTTATTATAATCACATGATGGCTCCGTTTCGATGTGCTTCGGGTTCTAATCTGGGCCGTTCTGCTGGGATCCACCGTTCTGCTGGGATCCGACTATACCTCGACTGGCCAGGAGGGATCCCCGTTCGGCCGACGGGCGGATGATTCGCCTCCCGTGTGCGTGGGAGCTGAATCCAGTTCGTTTTGTTTGTCCGTCCGTCCGTTCGCCGCTACAGCTGGAATGTCTGACGGGTTTGTTTTTTTTGGGGAGATAGAAACTAGTCTTTTTTTTTTTTGAGGAAGAAGAAGCAGATGAAGTCCTAGAAGAAACCGATCTTAGTGTCGTAGTAAATGGAATATGTGCAGGCGAGCAAAAACTGAAACGCACCCACAGTTCGTTTGTACGACTTCTTATCGATGGCGGCACAACAAAACGGAGAAAAAACAAAACTGAGGTAATGCAGAAAAAAACAGTCACGTGTTTCTTTTCCTTGTCTTTTTTTTTTTTTGTGTTTCCTTATACGCTCGGAGGGGAAAGTCGTAAAAACAGACAACAAGTGGTTCGTGACGCTTCCGGGCGAGCGTTCGGTTTTCCGGCTTCGAAAAAAAATCCCAAATCTTCTCGACTTCTGATTCTTTTTCCCATTATTATACAATCAGAGGGACGAGTGCCGCAGACGGAGCAGCTTCGATGTAGTGCTTAAAAACACGAGTACCGTTGATGTTTCTTCGTAGTGCTGTGGCGGTCCTACAGGAGAACGTGGTGCTGGATATAGGTGTGGTTACAGGGCAGTGGGTATACGGTAGGAAAACATGTGTAGTGTCACACAGGATCAGCAGTCCGTCTCCTTCCAGGTCCCGTAGTGTTTTCATTTTCTTTTTTTAAAAACCATCCTGAATAGTTCAAAGCATCAGGCTCCAGCTTCTTCTTCTTTTTGTTTTTTTAACTCCTGGCAGTTTTTTTTTTTCTCCACGTCAGCAACAGAAAGAAGAGAGTCGGAGCTGATGATGATGATGATGATGTGGCGAAGACCTCCCTCCTCGCCACAAAAAGAAAAAAACACAAAACGAAGAAAACATGAGTTGTCACAATAGTCTGCCTGCAGAAGAAGAATGGAAGGAAGCTCCTGCCAAAGAGCCGGGAGGGAAGAAAAAAACAAAAAAAACAGAACGGAGGGGGGAGGATCTGGAGCAGATTGAAATTCCTCGGATGTGATTTGTGGTTTTAGTACGGAGCGAACCTACTGTAGCCCGCCCGGTATAAACTGGCCTGGAAGACACAGAGGGGACAAGACGGTTAGCAAGAGCTGAGTGCATCTAGCCGACATGTCCACTGGTACATATTCAGCATTTTTTACATATTTGTGCGACGTCAGAGTGTGTCGTTCTGTTCTGATGATTTGATTTTGATTCTGCTCATCGGTTCCTGAACACATGTTGCGCTAGTTTATATCCGTGCGTCTAGCGTTGGATGCATTCGTGTTATTCCGTCTGTACATTTAGCAAATGCGGCTACAAGACGCTTTAAAAAGACTCTGCTGTTGTTGGAGCAGCCAGAGTAAACGTGAACAACCAAACCTGAAGCGCTCTGATGCAGGATGATGGACGCTGCAGCAGCAACATGTGGATTTATTACATCTCTTCAGTGGTTTTCAGTGAAATCCTGCTTATTGAGGCTAATTACAGCTAATAAAGTATTTCTGGCCTCAGAGCGACGCCTCAGTGGTTAAATAAACTATATTATTAGGTCAATATTAGTCAATGTCAAAGCAGAGCTCTACTATTTTACCCTCCAACCATCAGATTTAACCCTTTATGGGGTTTATGTAGTGACCATATTTGGTAACTTCCTCTGACATTCAACATGTCCGCCCTGTAGAGGTCGAAGAACCACTTTGATTTAGTTTTTATATTCGTGCCAACATCACTACCTGACAAAAATGGTACTAAACAAATGTTCTTTATAAACACTCTGTGTTTGCATCAAATTCCACTTTGATTTATTTAACTGTGAGATTAGTGCCAAATTACAAAAATAAATAAATAAAATAAAATTGGAAATAAAAGAAGAATAAATAAAATAAAAAATACATAATGTGGCACCATTAATCAAAAGTGAATCCATAAAATAAAAGACTAATAAAAGTAGAAATATAAAGACAAATAAATAAAATAATAAAAAATTCTTAGAATTTTTAATAATATTTTTAAATTATTTTTTAATTTTTATTTTTAAATGTATTTATTTTTATATAAATACAAATAAATAAATTAAAATAATAATAATAGTTTAGTTTTAATTTTTAAATTATTTTTAAAATTTTTAATTTATTTAATTTTATATAAAGACAAATAAATAAAATCCTGTAAATAATAACACCACATCCATGTTGTGGGTGTTGTGTTTCTCACCATGGCTCCCACTCCGTACGCGGCAGCAGCTGGAGCTAAAGCGTGGTATGGATCTGTGGTGTACACCCGGCCGTAGCTGCACAAGAGTCAAGCAGAGAAGAACTCAATTAGGCTTCTAGTCATCATGTTTTGTCTTGAAAAGTCTTTAAAAACCCAACAAACGGCCCGATCGGTTTCAATAATGCACAAGTTTGAGGTGAAGATTGACTAAAAGCTGCAAACACACACAGATAAACACATCCTGTCCTGGTTTATACGACTCAGGTGGATGAGATACGACGGCAGCTTTCATTCTTCTGACACAGGATCAGGTTGTAGAAGTGATTTCCTCCTCGTCGTCGTACAACCGAGGAGGCATTAATCCGACCGCTCTCTCCAATTTCCATTTCAATTCTGAATAAATGAATATCCGGAGACGAAGCTGCACGCGAGCTAATGTGGAATAAACGAGTCCCGCTTTAAGGTGTCGTCGTCCCGTCAGACGTCGTGAACACCAGGAGGATTCACACGTCGTGGTTTTAATCTCAAAACTTACTCATTTTGCTCTCTCAGCTCCTCTTTCACACGCCGGACGCCAAATATTACACAAGAATCCATAAATGTTCTGTAGAAGTCCCCACTGACGGACCTCATACACATCTGCACACATCTGCATGTCGTTGTACGACCATAACTCTACGACGTGACCGGTCTCACATGCAGGAAGTTACGTCAGTCAGCTATTTTTGCTGTTCGACACAAAAAGAAAATTCGTATTCCTCATTTTCCACGACTAATCTACAAGAACAAGTCTGCCATAGAACATCATTCACTCCCTTTAAGGGTTCTGAAAAAACAAGAGTTGTTTTTTTTAAACTTTATTTTAAGGACACACAGTTTGTCAACGTTCAGGCTCCAGTAAAAAAACACCAACAAGTCAAATCTGGCGGCAAAAAGAAGCTGCAGAGTCGCACAGTTTGGCTTCTTACAGTTAAAAACCCCTGATCAGTTTAAAATGCTCGTAGGGAACACCTCATGCAGATCAAATCAATCTGGTAAACCGTATTTACTCTTTTTAAAGTCATTTCTGAGCTGCAGTACCTGAGCGGAGACCAGAAGCTTCTCCGCTGTGGCTTCTGACGCATCAAGCGAGCCGTAAAACTCTACATTCAGTCTGATGTTATTGTGAACGCCAGCAGGAACGTAGCACAACCCGGACGTGGAGGCGGGTTAGTTCGGGTTCTGTTGCTGTTTTCTTGATTCTGTTTCTGGTTTGCGTCCAAAGCGCCTGAAGTCACCGTCGGTCTTGTTCAACTGTTTTCGTCTAACGTTCTATTTTTGAAGCTTATACATTTCAGACATGTCGGTAAAATCAATTAATATCCATGATGTCAGAGTAATTAGCGTTTTGGCCACGATGGAGCAGCTTCGGTCAGTCGTATGATAACAGGCTCTCCGTCAGCAGCGTCTTGATATCGTTGCTGCTCCGCGACTAATTTATTTGACTGTTTAAATCAGCACGACAAGCTCTGCAGGAAGAACCCGAATCTGAACGCCATCCAGAGCAAAACCGATGAGAAAGGTTCCAAAGAGTCTTTTTTATTTTCTATGCAGACGCACTCCCCGTACTAATTCTTGTAGTTTAATCGTAGCTACTGCTTGAGTTCCTTGAAGACCTCCCGTCCAAGAGGCTTCATCAGCTCTGACTGACTAGTTGGGAGTTCCAGATATCCTGAAGGAGACGTTAACACCTGAGTTTCAATTGGGGGTTTGTGGCTCCTCCCCCTCAGGTGTGAACGGCTCCTTAAGGATATCTGGAACTCCCAAGTAGTCAGCCAGAGTTGATGAAGCCTCTTGGATGAGATGTCTTCAAGGAACTCAAGCAAGTCCAGTTGATTAATCTACCAGAACAACCGTGACCTGGATGAATCTTCACGGTCACTCCATTACAAAATCACCCCAATCACGCTAGAATGACTAATTCTTTAGAGCTACTCGAGTCATCTGGGGACAATTACTGCATCTTTTCACATCACAACATTTGAAAAACTAAATACCACACACCCCTACGAGGCCTAACATCCTGAGGAACCCGGACTTACAGGATCAAACCTCAGGATTTGCTCACCTGTCGCTGTAGGCGGCAGCTGCGGCGGTTGCTCCGGTTACAGCAGCGGGCTGGGCGTAGCGGTAGGCGGCGGCGGCGGCGGCGGCTGCAGGGTAGCCTCCCTGGAGACACACACACACACACAACTGACTCGCACGCTTGTGGAGGAGGAACACACCTGAGTTAGGACGAGTGGACGAGGAGGGAGGAGGCGCAATACACTGACATTCACTAGAGTTTAAAGAAAAAGTGTTTATAAATTATAAGTGAGGAGTGTGTTTGACTTCTCATTAATAATATAATAAAAAAAATGTCAGTGTATTGCATCTGTGTGTGAAAAAAAGTGAGACAGAGTTGGATGTGGGACAAGAAGCGCTTTATCAGTGAGACAGAGGAAGGAAATTGGACTGTCCAAGTTGAGTTAGATCGTATTATTGCCACTACGGGGGAGGAGGGGGGAGAGAGGGAGGTAAAAAAAAAAAAAGTTCACGCAGCCGAAGCCGCATAGAAACCTCGAACAGATGCGTTAAAGAGAACACCGACAGTCTGAGGACGCTACGGTTTAGAGGGTCCGGGGATGACGACAAGACAGCGTTCATGACAGAAGAGCATTACTGGTTGTGTTCTTTCACATGGATTTTAAAGAAGAAGAAGAAGAAAGATGAGGGAAAAAAAATAAACAAAATAAAGAAGTCACACGCACAAACACACACCCACACACAAGCCCGGGCTGACGCTAAAATCACCCCCCTCGCGCTGAGACTGCATGCACGACCCAGAATTAGAACTCAGACCTAGTAATTACACAAAAACAACAACAACACAACATCCCACTGCATCTGGACCTGATCAGAACAGCAGAAAAGCACAGAACGGTGAACATCCCAGCATTCTCTGAGACGCCTGCAGGACACGGAGGAGGAGGAGGAGGGGATGGAGGGTACGGGGGTTGTTAAGGGTGAGAGGAGGGGTAATACAGTACGTCCGCATGCAGCAGCTGATCAGCACATGCTTTGATAGTCGTCCTGGGAGGGGCAGTTAATTCAGGAAGAGGCCGTGTTCTCCATTTCGGAGCGCCGCTGGGCAACAAGAGGCTCGCTGTGAAATCGGAGCCTCCGATTTTAAAAGCCTACAGTTTACGATAAAACCATCCAATTAGAAAATAAATGCAATTTGTGCATCTGTAGCGAAGCACAGAGCAGCACAGCCAAACGTCTCCATACACTTGTAAAGGACGCCCATCGTTTATCGGGATGATGATTATTCCTGGAAACGAAAAGACGGAATTGTTGAAGCTTCCTTTTTGTTTTGGGTTCATTTAACTAATCTGTTGTGCATCTTCAGGAAATACAACAAGATCTAAATGTTTTTCTTTCTGTCTTTAGTGTGCATTAGGAATAATGTTGTTGGGTCCATGATAAGGGGAGGGCGGCTACTTCAGCTACACATGAATAAAAAGTTGATTACAAAAAACTAAAAAATACAAATTCTGGTAGTCTCTGTTAAGCATGTATACTATATTTATAGACTCCTGTCCTCCACGGGGATCCATAAATCACTATTAACATCACTTTTGACGTTTGTTTTAAAACAAACCCCCCCCCGACATCCAGGGTTTAACTTCCTGGTTGGTAGTTTGATGCCGTCTCGGTAGATTTTAAAACAATCTTCCTACATTATGCGTCCACGTTATCGTCTGACGGCCCGTTTAGAGCCCAGACCTAAAACTACATGTTTGTTTCTCTCCTCCCTGTTTAGCACCGAACCAAACAGAAAAGCACTTTGAGGTGACTCGTGACGCTTCAGATGTTCTAAATAAATAAAAGCGACTTGACTGAGATTTAACCCTTTATGGGGGCAAGTGACCATATTTGGTAACTTCCTTCAACATGTTGAGGTTGAAGAACCACTTTGATTTAGTTTTTATATCAGTGCCAATATCACTACTAGTGATGCACGATATTAAAATTTTTGGCCGATATCGATATCCGATATTAAGATTTCTGATATCGCTGATAACCGATATTACCGATGTCGATATAAAATTTTTGTTCACACCGAAAAATGCACATAAGAACTGTGAGAAAACTATTCAGAAGAAGCCCAAATTAGACCTCAGAGTCTACTTTGTTACGTAGCAAAAGTAAAACATGTTTAAACATATTTAAGTCCAGCATCATTTTAGTAAAAATATCTGTGAAATAGCAACGATATCAAACGTAGAGACGAAGGCGCTGATGTTAGACAATCATCGGTTTTTCACATCGGCTAAATTTGGTCATCAGACTGATACCGATATATCATAAAAACACTATCGGCCGATATCGATGAGGTCACAGATATATCGTGCATCCCTAATCACTACCTAGTGAAAAATGGGACTAAACTAATGTTCCAGGTGCTTTATAAACACTTTGTTACTGGTTTGCATTGAACTCAACTTATTTTTTGAGATTAGTGCCGATACCACGACCCCAAGAAGAATATGACTAAATGAACTCGCCAAGCACTTTATAAATATTACATTACTGGTTGTGTATCATTAATTCAAAATAAAAACCTTCTAAATAAATGTTTTTTGCAGTTTGCTACATTTTTAAAAATTTATTATAAATTCCCTTTTATTTCTACTGTATAAGTGACCGAATATGGTAATTTAATTTAATTTTTTTAAGTCACAAAAGTATCTTAAAATATCCTTCAGTAACACTGTCGGGTTAAAATAGCCCCATAAAGGGTTAAGGAGCCAGAACAAAGTGCCGCGATGTTAACGTTTCTGACAAGTGTATGCAAACGTTTGACCAACAGCTGTAGGTGTGTTGTCATTTTTCTTTTCTTTTTTCTTTTGTTTTGATAAGAATAATTTTTCTCCAAAACTTGCCGACCAGACAAAGAGACCAGGCTCTCCTTCAGAGAAATAAACACACTCAATACAATTTAGTAGTTTAGTAAACAAACAAAGCCCTTTCCCACAATTTAACAAAAAGAAAAAAAAAGGTGCACATTTCAGTGAGTTAGTAGAAAACAAAGCAAAATTCAGTAATTATTTATTGATTTATTTTTAATAAGAACTAAAAGACAACATGTTCCAGATCAGATCAGAAGATGGTTCATAAGATCAGAGGAGGTAGTACAGTCAGAACAATGCACACTGTGGGTTGGGTGTTGAGTTGACCCTACCTGAGGCAATCTGGGACTAAGGACTGAGTCCTGAAACACTAGTCTATAGAGAGAACAGAAACAACCGTCGTCAACCTGGATTCACACTCTCGCTCTTGTTCACACGCTCATACGTTCACGCACGCTGCCGCCTCCAGAGCCAGCCTTGGTAGTGGTGCTTCAGACCCTTCATGCCACCATCAGCCCGCTAATAGCTGGTGCACAAATCTTATGTTTAATTTTTTTCTCACAACGGTTCAATTTTGTGGCTCCTTCACCATTATGCAGGCAGCTCGGTGCAGCGCATGACTGGACGCACATGCAGAATCACCCCCAGAGGAAAACAAACAAACAAACAAACCAAAAAAAAAAAAAGGAGCAGGAGAAAGCCGTGAGGGGAGGGAGACAGAGATGGTGTGTTTGTTGGAGGTGAATTTACTTACATACAAGTCTGCAGCTCCGTAAAACCCATCCTGATACACCACACTGAGAGGAGGAGAAAGAGGAGGAGGAGGAGGAAGAGGAAGAGGAAGAGGGGTGTGGTGCCGACAAAGTGGTGCACAGACCCAAAAACCCAGAGTGGATGAAGGTCAGAGCACAGCAGAGAGAGAGAGAGACAGAGAGAGAGAGAGAGGTAGTTATTTCACACCCATGCAGCATGCAGAGGAAATACAACCCCCATCAAGCTCCACTGCTGCACCTAGAAACATTAAACAGCGCACTCAGGGGGCTAATAGATGAAGTTCATTGAACTGAAATGAGGCCGTAAACGGCGATGGTTCCCCCGCTACACCAAAACAAAGGCAATAAGGGCCGCTTCCAATGCATCATTTTAAGAGGAGGTGGAGTTTTTTTTTTTCCCAGTGGAGCCGATGAGGAGGAGGTATTTCCCGCATCCCAAAAAAAAAACCAGAAAGTCATCTCGTTTAGCTTAATTTAAAAGTCATCACAGTTAACCGGTCGCTCCTGCTTCGATGCGAACACCGCGGCAGTCACAACTCCATCAGGCCATCATTCACGGCAACGACATGCGCAGTAACACACACCAAACGCACAAAAAACATCAAAACAAACCCAGTAACTCTGCAGCAAATCTGTGCAGGAGGTGACTAACCGTGGTGTGTGTGTGTGTGTGTGTGTGTGTGTGTGTGTGTGTGTGTGTGCAGATCTGCTGCTGACGGCGGCGTCTGTGTGTGTTTATTCAAATGAGCCTTCGATGGTGCAATCCCATCAGCGTGTCATACTCGGCTGAATAGCTCGTGAACTGACTGACAATGTGCCAATTGGATTGCTGAAAAGAGTGAAGTGTGAATAATGTTTGAAGTGAATGAGCACAGCTGCGTTACACAGAGACCTGGTTAAATAGAATTTGGAAAATGATTCATGAGGTGTTGCTCAATAGATTTACTTAGGCGCTAAACAAAACAGATTTTGACTTTTTTTTTTTATCTCTGAAATGCATTTTGTGTAAAAGCCACAGATTTGGGCCGACTGCAGAGCACGTGAAGTCAACGGCTCGTGTTCGTGAAGAGGCAGGTTTTCCTCACCCAGGGTAGGCGGGGATGGCAGGCTGAGGCACGGCGGCCCGCACGGCGCTGTAGACGGGCCGGCCTCGACCCCTGAGGTGGGCGCCGCGGAACGCCGCCGCCGCCGTTGTGGCTGCTGCTGCAGCTGCTGACGGGTAGGGAAAGCCTGGGACTGGAGGCAAGAGGAGGATGGAGAGGATGGAGAGGGCAAAGAGGTGAGACAGGAGGGGAAAGAAAAGATAACAATGCAGGTGGTGAAGGGACAACGTGAACAAAAGCTAGATCAGAGTTGTACGCTTCCACCAACCAGCTTTTCATGTAATAAATGTAGTGAGTGTCAGGAGCAAAAAGCACATCATGATAGAACAAACAGGGTCAGAGTGGCCGGCCTGGACCTGCTACCACCAGATGGAGACCCCTGATATCAAGCTTGTCAGGCCTCGGAGTGGGACACCGGGTTATGGTTGGAGCCCGACTAGCGAGAGCAAACCACCGGCCTCCGCTAGCTGCAGGCGTGGATAGTGGTGACGAAGGCCCAGGTGGCCTCAAGTACCCCGTTTCCACCAAAAAGAACCAGGTGCTAGTCCCGTGCTGGTGCTAGTTCCAGTACTTAGTTGGTTCAAATCTGGCAGCTCCTAAGAACCGGCTGCTTTTCCATCAGCAAGTCAGAGCCACGCCACAAGTCGCTGCATACGTTTACCGAACAACGCTTGCACCACATGGAAGTCCACACAGGGCTCCAGACTTTTCTTTTTTTACCGTTGTGACCAACTTTCTCATTTGGGACTCATTCCAATACATCTGTGATCAGATCAAGGACGTCCTGGAGAAAAACGACACAAATCACCGTTTGTGTGTCCCGTTCATTCATTGGTCTCGTTGGTCACGATAGCTCCGCCCCCAGCCCCTGACGGTGCTTAGCTCTGGCCCAGCAAAGAGTTGGTGCTCGCTAAGCACCAGTTCTAAGAACCTGGAGCCGGTGCTAAAGCGGTGGAAACACAAAGAACTGGTGCTAAGTCAGGCGCGAGCACTGGAACCAGTTTGGTGGAAAATGGGTACAAGTGTCTTAGAAGTCCCAAACATCTGGATGGCGCCACAGATGGTCAGAACTGTAATTCATTTTATCTTTAATGTAAATATAATACCACTTCTGTCTAGACTAGAAGCTTAGCACAGCTAGCTAGCTAGTGTCTACTGTAGCCTGCATGTGAGGCGTGAAGGAAACATCAGAGTTCAGCCTGTAAACATGTTTTAGACACGAAATTTATAGATTTTCTCCAAACCAGGCGATTTGGTAACACCAGCTGAGAAAGTTAGCGACAGTTAGCATATATATATTCTTGAGTGATTGCCAAAAACTAGTTTTGCGAGCTACTCTGAGTTCATCCTCAATCCCCAAGTGAACATTTGAGCCAAACTTGAAGCAATCCTCTCATGGCGTTCCCCGAGATATCGCATTCACAAAAAATACAATTCTCTGGATCTTGTGTGCGCCTGCTCGGAGGAATAAAAATCAGAGAAGGCTCGGGGACTGAATTGAGCAGGAAAAAAAGCAAAGAGAGACGAGGAATAATCTCGCAGTGAAGGTTTGATATCAATAAAATTGTAAATGAGGAGAAACGGCAGACATGCAGTGCGTTAATGTAAAGACCAGGACGTGACTGAGGTGTAAAGCATCTCTGCAGACAGACTGGAGGAAGAAGGTGGAGACGGGCCTTACCTGCGTACAGCTCCGGTCCGTACACGGCTCCCACCATAGGACTCAATTTCCACCCCGCTGATAGCCACAGAGAAGGGAAAGGGGGCAATTAATTAACAGTGGGAGTTCAGAAGGAGCATAAAATCCAGTATTCCTGCCGAACATTTAGGGGAAGCTGTGATTTACGCCCCGTATTGTGCACATATTTCAGCCCACCATTTGTGCCGCGGCTCCGTCATTCATCTTTATCGCCGCCATTAACGGCTTCGCTCGGCGCTTAAAGACCGCCGCTGTCAATAAATACGCGATGAGGAGACGCGAAAGGAGAACCGCGGCAACACGGCGAGGCTTCGTTAACGGAAATAATCGACTGTTGCCTTTGAAATGAGAAGCAGAGACGAGGAGGGAACACTCAGGCTGCATCATTTCTGATTCTAAAACCATCTCCGTGCTCATGAGCTAAACATCACGCTGCTGCTGCTCACATACATCAGACATGTGATGGTTGATCAGTCATAGAAAACACAAACAACAGCTTTGCTCCATGTAGACATTAGTGATGAAAGTGGAGCATGTAAGAGCACGAGACGACGAGGTCAGCATGTTGAATAAACCACAGAATTAGCTCAGATCGGTACGCCGACCATAGACTGTATAAAAGATGGACGTAGC